CCCTCCTGCAAAAACATGAAAATAAAATGTTCCAAAACCAACAACAAAAAGGAAAGCAAAACTAATTTAATGTCCTGAGCAAAAAGCACAAAAATTTGAATATGACTTCATCACTGGTACTCAAATGCATCGTCCTTTCCATGTTTTCGCCATCAGCAGTATTTTAAAAGGCGTATCATCCGTCAAGATTCCCCTTCTTTGTCCCCATTATTCAGTGTCATGGCAGGAAGATGAGAGCATTACCATCGATATCACTTTTTTAATTCCCTGCCCTTGAATAAGGGCAATAAGAGCCCTGCATAATAGAGTTTTCAGCAGAGAGAGTAAAAGGGAATCGGTTGTTAATTCAATACAGAATCCAGAAGTCATCTCTCCCTTCTCTTTTCTCAAGGTAATACTCTGCCTCCAATTGTCATTATAGCCGAGAATGAAATTATTTGAATTCTGGACACATCAGCACAAAACCCAAGACTCCCTGCCAATTTTGTTGCCTGCTTGGAAGAGAACATCAGAGAGCATCACTCATTTATACGACTGCCAGCCTGAGACTGTAAATTCAGAAAACAAGGAGGCCTCAGGTGCTGCACTTTAACAGGTCTTTCTGCTCCTGAATCACCCCCACCTCACACACAAGGTAACATTTTATCTCTGAAAGACAAAGCTTTCAAGCATCTGCCAGAGCACACGCTCTGTACGGCCTGAATGTGAATTGAAAATTAGACTATTAAGTTTATTAATTGGTATCAGTGACTTAAGGCTTTGAAGGAGATTCATGGCACTCGGGAAAATAATCTATAAAGATTTTTGTTGCTCTAAAAAGACAGTGCAGCATCAGCTTATTTCACTTGCAGCAGGTTCATCTCTTTTATGGAGCACATACTGCACTGGAGGCAAAGGGAAATTTAATGGACACTGGAAAAAATTATCTATTCCTCTATCCCACAACTTAAAAAAACATAAAAAGACAGAACTGAGAGATTGAGATATGCTATCACAAAACATTTAAGGCACTATAATTAAATTAAGATTCAGAAGTCTGTCAGTGAGATGAAGACGAAACTGGCAGAAAGTTGAACCGTGTTTGAAGCAACTTGTTCCCTCCTGCTGAGGGTTGCTTTGTACCACACTAATGAGAAGGCCCACCTCGGAAAGGTTCCTAACAAACCAGTAGATCGCTGATGGTTATTAATCAACATGGTTTGCAGGAGCATACACCATGTGCCATTTTCAAGTGCTTCACAAGCATTAATTAAAGCATTATTGTATGTCTTGCCCTCATTTTAAACCACAAGCCCTGCCCCATAGTAGTAGGCTGTGCATAACAAATTTCGATTTTTTATAGATGTTTTGGTGAAGATATGTTTCTTTTTTTAATGAAAAATTGAGCGCAAAATGCTCCATGATTGCCTCTGCTCTGTATCTGACATATTCTGGTTACATTTACAGCTTGGCATAAGGCAGCAAAGCCTGTAGCCAAGGGGGAATGGACTGCAAGAAGGTTGATTCCCGTGGAGGGGCTGGAACTGGAGGAGAGGCAAGGAATGTTGTAACAGGAAGAGACTAGGGTGATGGAAAGCTGTTGCTTTGCAGTGTTGAGAGAAACAACTTTTGAAAGCTGTGACCCAAGAGAAATAACTCCTTCTGTAATCCAGTAGCTTTGTACCAGCTATGTTTCATGTGATTCCTGAGATGTTTCTTCTTCGGGGCTGTAACTTTTTGGGTTGGTTGGTAAAAATTCACAGGGTTTTTTGGTTTTCTCCTCTCCTCAAATGTGTCTTGCATCTTGCCTCAGACAACTTTACCAATGAGTTTCATAACAGCTGTGAGCTGGTTTTGAGATACAGAAATGCTTTACTTATTTACTTATATTTTACAGAAACACAATAAAAGTGAAATTCTCCTTCAAGAAGGCACATTGTCCTCAGTCTGGCATTGTGACAGCTCCCCAGACCAGCGCTTATCATGTTGCTATCTCATTAAAAAGATACAAGACCTGCAATTATCAACCTAAAGATGCTTTGCAACACCGGGAAACTCCTGGTGGGCTCTAAGATAAGGCCCCATCACACGGTGGCTGTGATTCTTTTCGAGTCCGTGGCTGCAAGCGAGCGCCTATCGAGCCGAGCCGTGATGCAGCCGCCCTGGAATTCCTGGAGCTGGCCCAGCAGCGAGTGTGACCCACCATGCAGGAGAAGCGTGCTGTCCAGCTGATAAGGAAGCGTGCATCAGCAAATACGGCTTGTTTATCCCATAAAAACCGCTTTGGAGGAGTGCAAGCAGAAAGAGGCTGGGTCTGCACTGCACAGATAAGAGCTCTGACCAAAAGGACGACCAAAGATTGCAACAGGCCTCCTGGAAAGTCCCAAAGAGAAGCTTTCAGTGGGAATGGATGACTAAGGGAATTGCAAAGGGCTTCTGGAGGCTTTTATCTGTGTGTTACCTCTTCAAATGCAGCTCAGCACTTCAGTCATTTGTTGTTGCATGCTCTGATGAATGTGTTCTGGCTAGAGGAGTTGATGGTCAAAAAACCCCACCAACTGCAACCATGACCAACTGCTTGCCTCATTAACAATCTCAGCTAATGACCTAAGAACAGTGTGTGCAGCTGAAAAGTAGTTTGCTGTCCTGGTCATATATATGTGGGGTTTTTTCAGGTCAGGAAAGGCTCAATAGCAGTTTTCTTCAGGGATGCCTCATTATTCTCCTGAGATCTCCTGAGCTCCCACACAAAGCAAGCAGGGTCTTGGCACTTTCCATGGGATCATGAAATATTCCTGGAGCCCCTTTCACTGGGGTCTTTCACACATCCCTTAGGCTATGAACCATGTCATGGACTGGGTATCACACATAGTGAAACCGCTGGAATTGTGTGAAATTAGAAATACTCCTGAGGCAAGAATCATGCCTTTCTATGCTCTCTAAAGTAAATAAACCTTACTTTTTACCCTTTCCCAGGTAATGTTTCCATTTGTAGTAGTATCTTTTATTTGATTTATGTGAGAGGATTATATGAATTGAAAACCAACATGGAGCTAAGCTAGGCTGTGAAAGAATAAAACTTGGCTACAGTTTGTGTCAACAGGGAATCTTTGATATGAGGAAAAAAGCACAGTCTATCAACATTGCTCTCCAAGTGGGATTCCAAGCTCTCCAAACATACATAAATATTTCAGACCCATTTTTGGAGCTAAGAATCTGAGACAAAAAGATTTCCTAATAACCAAAGACAAGCCTGAAGTCACCTTGATGCAAAGTGGGGAGGACTGGACATGGCTTTTTGCTAACCTTAGGCAACTGATGCAGGCAAAAGCATCCATGTGGCAGATGGTCCAGGAGGATGAAAGCTGGGAGCAGACTCCAGTTGCTTTGTAAGCACCAGATGAAGTCCATTGGTTGATTCTTGGAGTTTCCCTTGACTTCATTTGACTGTAGAGCTGCCAAGGTTAATTTACCACCATGTGAGGTTTGGGAGGGGTTTTGTTGGTTTATCCTGGGTCTACATGGCTGTTACAAGGCAGGGATTTTTCCAGCTGTTGTTTCATTGTGTCAGGAGGCAGCTCAAAGCTATACTCTGTCAGAGATCCCATTTGTTACTAAAATGTCCAACAAGCTCCCATGCAATACTTAGTTTATTCACGTAGACATTTCCCTGATGTTCTGGCTCAGCTCCCTCCCTGTCATCTCTCACATCTCATCTGAGAGTCACTCTCGTGAAGCCTGAAGATGTGATTTGTTATCAGTTCATATGTAAATCCCCCACTGTTCAAAGGACTGCTGAACTGCCTTTATGTTTGTGTGGTTCATCGGAGTCACTGCAGGATCATACAGCTCCCACTCTGAATTTCCCTATCCTGCTCCTTCTATGCTTTTTTATTACGGTCACTCCTTGTGTTCTGGTTAATTGTACATGATCAGATTTCCAAGCCAAGGTCATTGCCTGGTTATTTCTGTGATGCTCTGACCTTATTGCATCCTTGCTACAGCAAAAAACAATCCTAATAAGAACAGTATAATAACAACACAAATTTTCTGGACCTCAGCTTCTTTCTTGCTACCAATTCCCCAAGCTGCCTCTCCTCCCCTCAAAGTCTCAGTTTTGCCCACGTATTATTGTCCATTTAGAGCACTAAAAAGCTGATCTTGTGAAGAGCAGCCCATTCCCCAAAACCGTAGCACATTAGCTGACTTCCCAGAGACACTCAGCACCTGGTGATGAAGATCTCCAGTGTGTCATTTCATTAGATTTTCAAGAAGTAAAAATAAATGAAGGATGCTAAAAGCCTCATCATCTCTCACAGATTAAACACTGGACACGCAGAGCAATCTGAGCAGTTCTCAGCCTGATGAGTACCTTTGATATATTTGGCCATTTGGGCTCCATGGCTGGTGATAATGGAAAAAAAATTAGGCTCCTTTATTGAAGTGGAAAAGAACATTTATATCTGGGCTGAGCTAGGAAAATTCCATGATAACTTACTGGTGCCACAGTTTCTGCAGCTGTCAGTTATTTGATGGAGGATGTAAAGGCTGCTGTGGGTAAAACACGGAAATACTACAATTTCAAATGAGTTTATGTTTGCTTTTGGTTCTGTGGGTTTTGGTTGGTTGCTTGCTTTTTGTTTATTTTTTTTCCTTCAGTCTCAGCAACAGATATTTCTGTTTTACTATGTTTTTGTTTAAATAATTGTTAGCATATCCATTGGGAAAGTAAAATGCCAGCCATTTCTGCACTTGAGGAGCCTCTAGCCTAACCAGGGGTTATAATCAATTTTTATAACCAACTCCTAGAGCTTCTCCACCTCCATCTTCACCACTGCCTAAGGCCTTGAGTAACAGCTTGGATGTATGCAAGTGCTAGAAGCAAAACTGTCCAGGATTTTGGTAAAACCTGAAAGACATAAAGAATTATGTCTTCTATAGAATTATAGAATTCTATAAAATTATACTTCCTATTGGCTCTGTATTATTAGATTTTCATGGGCCACAAACCCAAGGACAAACACAAGTAATATAATTTTATTAGCATTTCAAATATACTTTTGCTATTGTGTTTTCTTCTCTACAGGGAACTTTACAATTATAGAAATTATAAAGGACAAAAAGCTCCCCAACAGCTAGCAATAGCACAGTCTTTAAAACCACCCCCTTGTTCCTTTCCAGTTCTTATTTGAGCAGTGTTGCTAGGACAATGAATTGCTGATACCTGAAAAAGAAGAGAGAAAATAATTTCTAGCATAAAATCATGCAGAAGAAAGAATTCCTTCTTTCATATAAGAATATTTAATTCACTAAAGGTGAGGGGCATTAAAAGAGTAGCATCTATTGTTTATGCACCTGTTGCACATTGAGTATTTTTTCCTATAAAATGTGATCCTGAAGACACAAGACTTTTTTTGGTTTTGCTTTGATTATATTCAACTCAATAAGTTTATTTTCCCAGTCTCAGTTTTGCCCACTTATTATTGTCCATCAGCTTCATTAAGAAGTTGGTATTGTGAAAAGCACACTATTCCCTGACCAAACCCCTTGGCACCGAAATTGAATTTCAAGGGACCAAGGGCTGAGCTCTAAGGACTAAATTCTGAGGGCTGAGTTCTCAGTTCTAAGGCCTGAGCTCTGAGAGCGGAGTTCTGAGTTCGGAGGACTGAGGGATGACCTCTGGTTCGGAGTTCTGAGGGTTGAGTGAGGAGTTCTGAGGGCTGATTTCAAACTTTTGAAGGCTGAGCTCTGAGGACTGAGTTCAGAGTTCTGAGGGCTGAGTTCGGCGTTCTGAGGGTTGATTTGGCACTTCTGAGGGCAGATTTGGGACCTCCGAGGGTGGATCAGGGACCTCCGAGGGTGGATCAGGGAGCTCTAAGGATAGATTTGGGACCTCCGAGGGTGGATTCGGGAGCTCTGAGGACAGATTCGGCACCTCTGAGGGCTTATTTATCACCGCTGAGGGCTGATTTAGCAGCTTCGAGGGCTGATTTGAGAGCTCCGAGGACGCCCCCGCCCCCGGGAGGCGCGGCTCCGGAGGCGCGGAGGGAGGCGTGATGGGCGGTGCGTCCCGGGGACGTCTCGCAAGATGGCGGCGCCCTCGGACGTGGAGCTTTCGCAGACCCTCAGCCTGGAGCTGCTCCCCACCGACCCGCTGCTGCTCATCCTCAGCTTCCTCGACTACCGGGATCTGGTGAGGTACGGGCGGCCCGGGGGGATGGCAGGGGCGCGGCGGGCGGAGCGCTCCCCGGGCTGTGCGGGGAAAGGGCTTGCCTGTCTCCGGAGGAGGCGCTGGGGGGAGGACACGGTGCGAGCACCCTTCCCTTCTAGCAGCACCGGGCTTTCCCCTCTTTTACCGTCATCTTTCTAACAAAATGAAATGTTCCCTTTTACTGGGAAAGTGGTGAGGCCCTGGCACGGGTTGCCCAGAGAAGCTGTGGCTGCCCCATGCCTTCAAGTGTCCAAGGCCAGGTTGGATGGGGTTTGGAGCAGCCCGGTCTAGTGGAAGGTGTCGCTGCCTATGGTAGGAGAACTCATTGATCTGTAAGGTCCCTTCCAATCCAAACCATTCAATGAATCTGTTTTTCTCTCCCCCATTATGTGTTTGTACCTAAATTAAGCAGTAAGTAAATTTGTGAAATCAGTATTTCCCCGAAGCTTGTATTTTTACGGGCAAACAAAGGGTGGTCTGGCTGCTAGTAAATGTATTCTACCGTTTGAGGAAAACTAAACGAAACTAAATGGGATGACTTTTCAAGGGAAAAAAAACTTAAATGAAAGTGGCAGGTGCCTCTTGGGCTCAGTGGCTGAAGGGTTGTGAGTCATACAATGAAGATGAGTGTGTGGTTTTGGGTAAAACCTCAGCAGTCAAGTGCAAGGTTTGGCAGTGATTGAAACCAAAGTGTTTAATCAAAGAGGGATGAATAAGCGTAAGAAGAAAACAGAATATTACCAGAAATGTGGGAGTTTTGTTTTTTTCATTAACCCTAATAAATATTAGTCAAGAATGATAAGGGTATCAGGGAGAATTGTATTAGGATAGCAGCAAAAAAGACATTAAGCATAAGCAAAAACGGTAAGAGTTGTTATAGTGGCCCTTAGATATTTGATCACGTGCCAACTTTTTCATTGTTTGTGTTATTAATGAGAATGGCTTTAATTCCACTTTTATTATGTTTGAAGCCACATGTTCCTGTGATGCTTTGGTGATTTACTCCCTTTCAGAAATTACAGGCTTGATTGATAAACACCAGTAAGATAGATTTCTGCAAGGGCTTTTTTCCTTTAGATATTTCAGTTCCCCACCCCTCAAAATTATAAAAAATTCCCATGTCATGAAATTTTTGCACAGCCAGGTGTCCAGGCGTGAATTGAATGTGATTGTGGGGATGTGGATGGAAAGGGTAATGTCAGGGAATACAAGAGAATCACTTTGTTGAGGCTGATTTTGAGATACTAATACAATTTTAGTTTACAGAGTTTATAAAATCCCAAAAAGCAATAACTGGAACCTTGTTTGGTACTCTCATTTAGGGTTAATCACAGTCTTTGAAACTCACACTTGGCACTGTAGAGCAACCTACCAGAGGAAGTGATGTTGCCACATCTAAACTGATGGTGTTTTTGGTGACTTTCTTCAAAATTTGTTATTTAAACAATTTAAAGAGGAAAGTAAGTTTGTAATACTCAAACTGTATGGTTTCTGTAGCTTACTGTGGAAAAGATATGGCAGAGCCTGACCATCCAGGTAAAAAAGGGATTTAAATCATAGCATCCTGTGCTTCTGGAGTGCTTTCTGCTGGTGGAGTGGAGTCACGCTGGAATCTTTCAGGCACTGTTTACTCTGATGTAGGTCTGCAGGGTGACCTGCTTTACAAAAGTACTTAATTGCTGCCAGTTCTTTAAGTGTGTGGAAAAGTAGTTCATGACTTGCACAACTGTGATGAAGAGCTTTAACCATTGTAAGCACAGCTCTAAAAGGACAGCCAAATAGTTTTCAAACTCTGCATTTATTTAATGAGAGGGTGATGTGTGATACAGCATTTCTGCCTGTTTGTTTTGCTGCAATCACATTTAATGATTTTATATTTATAGCTGCTGCTATTTGAATCGAAGATTAAATCAGCTATCAAGCCATGACCCACTGTGGAAAAGACACTGCAAAAAATACTGGCTCATTTCAGAGTAAGTGGGATTGTTTTAAGTTTTTTTTCCTATGAAAATTAATTCCTAAGAGATGTTGTTCAGCTGATTTTCAGTCCATCTTACATCCAGCTCATATTCTCAGCTTCTCCACAGGTGATAAAAGCTGAGTAATGAAGGATGTGAAGTAGCTTTTCACCAGCTCTAAGGTTCACTACCAGACAGAGCTCTGTTCAGAAGGCACTCTGTGTAAAGGAGTATTGTTTCTAAATTTTCCCCTAAGTAGCCCAAATGTTTCCTAATTCTGTTCCAACTTGCTGTTGAATAGATGCTGGAATTAATTGAGTTTGTGTAGCTTCACATGGCACAGAATGTTCCTGGGTTAATGTTATGCATCCCGTTCCTGCCAAATAACAAATACCAGCTCCTTGGGTTTAGAAGTCTCTTCAAGCTGCCATTTGAACACATTTTCTCCGTGTCCCTTTAGGGAGGAGAAAAGCCGCCGGAATCAGAGCTGGCGAGCCATCTTCATCAGCACCTACTCTGATTTAGGAAGATACATCCACTACTATGCCACGCTGAAGAAAGCCTGGGATGACCTGGAGCAGTACCTGGGGCAGTGGTGTCCACGCATGATCAGCTCTTTGAAAGGTACCTGGCACACCCGTGGGTAGGTTGGTTCACCCTGCACTGCCTGTTGTTAGGGCTCATGCTGCTTGCATGAAAGGTGTGTGCCTTCATTAGCAGAATCCTGAAAGTCGGGTAGGTGCTCTCCCTTCCTTCCAAACACAGGCAGAGTCCTTGCCCAGGTACTACTGATCCAAAGATTCTCTGAAATCAAGGTGATTTTTTTCTAGTGACCGCTCTGTCCTTATCAGACTTTTAGGTTGCTATGACCTATAGTTTGTTATTTTTTAGTGTAGTAACTCCATTGCTTTGAGGACCTGCTGGTGGGATTTTATTTGTAAGGTTTTCATAAGACCTCATTAAAACACTGTCACATGAAAGCAGACCTTTTAACCTGAAGCCAAACAAAAATTATGTTGTTTGGTTTTATTTTTTTCTGTAGGTCTTACAGTGGTCCAGTGGTGGAACATTAATTTTTCCTCTTCTTTTACTCGCCTCCTAGATTCTGTTTTCAGTTTCAGTTTGTATTTTAATCCTTGAAGTGCTTCCAGTGTTCTAGGTCATAAATCACAGCTACAGTGAGTTTTGGCTTTTCTGATTGATATAGGGGACAAAAAAGCTTTTACATTTTCAGCTGCATTTCAGTTTTCTGTACGAAGCTGACTTTTAGACCATGATGTCTAATTTAACCTGATCTGTGAAATTAAGAGACAACTGATCTCTTAAGAGACAATATTAAGAGACAGATTATCTCTATCCTGTTTAAATATTGCATTTTTTGGTTTGCTTGGATAGTCCTGGACAATTACATTTTGCAAAGTATTTTTCAAGACAGAATGTGAAGCTTTTATTTATGTACAGAAAGACAAAAATAAATTTAAAATTACCAATTTCCACTCTTACATAGTGATGGCAGGTTTTAGGTAAAATTTAGGCTTTTTCATACCATTTGTAAGGGATACTGTTTCAATGAAGTGTTAATTTATGTCCTGTTAATGAAACAGATAATCAGTATGATAAGGATTTTTAAAAAATGAATTGGAACAGATCACAGAGGCCACCCAGTTGATTTTTGCTGGAAGTGAGGGTGTTGGAACCACCCTGAAGTGCATGTGGAAATGTAAGAATATTTCTTCTCCACCCCTTTGCATTGTTGATTTGAAAAATCCCCCTTTTACAACCCATTTATTGCTTCAGATTCCAGGTGAATGAGGGCTGCAACCAGCATTTCTGTGTCACTGATTGAACTGGAAACTGAAATAAGCAACCCTTAGGGTGATGGAAGGATAAAATCAATACTGCCTGAGAGCTGGAACTGGGACTTAGTTGTTGGCAGTGATGTGGGGAAAAGGTTCATTCCACTTTATAAACATTTGCTGCTTTCAGGCCTGTTGAGGTTGCACTGGACTGAGATTGGTGTTTGTATTAAATAATCAATTATAGTCATCATTTTCCTTCCAAATTTATGTGGTACTCATTGTGTACCACCCAGCATCCAGGGAAGCCACCAGATGCTGACTTAAGTCCACATTGGTTGGATGAAGGCATTTACAGATTCCATGCTTTGTGTTTGAAATACCTGAACTATCCTTTCTTTTCCAGAGAGTGTGAGAGAGGAAGATCTGGATGCTGTGGAAGCACAAATCCGCTGCAAACTCCCCGATGACTATCGGTGTTCGTTCCGTATCCATAATGGGCAGAAGTTGGTTGTTCCAGGGTGAGGACTGAAAGCTACTTACCAAGTATTAATTCCTTTTGTATTTCTTAGACACTTCACTTATTAAAAGGTGAAATGTCACCTGAACAGGATAAATGAAGCATTTAAATGTATTGTGACTGAGGACTGGTTAAGTGACACTTCCAGAATTGGCTGTCTCTAATCTTGGAAGTAATTGTAAGCCCAGCGTGGTTTTCTAATTGCTCAAATTACTCTTACACTTCCCCTTTTCCTAGTGAGAACCCTTGTCAAATTTTTGCAACAACTCTAAACTTCCAGCTGTCAGACTTTTAATCATAGCACTGCAAGTTGCTCCCCTGAAGTTTGGCTTTGTATTACAGAAGTAAATTAGCCCCTTTCACTCTTTAAGCTTCATTCTTTAGTAATTCTTTTATTCTTTAAAATGGTTAGGGAATGACTTAAAATCAGTTGGTCATATTAAGGTAGAATCAAATTTTTAGTTCTGCAAATTAA